AAGCTCTAATCATGCTGTCCTGACAAAACTTTTCCTCTGAACGTATGCGTGGAGCTTTTTGCTTCCGATGGCAGGTAACAAAAATAGGCTGATGGGAGGAAGAGGCAAGTCATGTCTGGATCTGATGCTGAAAAGTCAGAATTTGAACTAAACTTAGAAGTGCCACACAGAGTTGGCAGAATTTGGAAGAAGCCTTAGATGGACGAACTGCATGTTCATGGGCAGAGGGAGTTATATATTCAATCTGGATGGATTTCCTGCTGTTCCCCTACAGTCCCCAGGTGGGTTACACCATTAAAACAACTTGCAATCACATTGACCAATGTGGTGACTAGTGATGATGCTGGCTGGGGATGATGGGAGTTGAAGTACACAGGTTCTCTATATCTGTATAGAGCAGGCATAGGCAAACTTGGCCCTCCAGATGTTTTGGGACTACAACTCCCATCATCCCTAGCTAACAGGACCAGTGGTCAGGGATGATGGGAGTTGTAGTCCCAAAACATCTGGAGGGCCGAGTTTGCCTATGCCTGGTATAGAGGCTTTCTACACCAATGAAAGGAGGTACAGGCAGAAATGGAGCAGTTAGTGCTATAGGTACATTTCTGAAGACTAATATTGAGTAATACCTACTTTTTCCTTATACCACACATTTTTAACTGATCACCCAAAAAAGGGAAGCATCTCTCATAGACTGAGCAGTTCCTACTATTGATTTTCTGTTGGTATTAAAAAAAACATTCCTAAAAGTGAGGGCTACACAGTGATCATGACAATTATGATAATAAGAAACCAACAGCAGTGGAATAATTAAATCAAGAGAACATATTGTCTTTGTTAATTAGTTGCCGGTTATAAATCTAAAGCTGTGTTTCTATGCGTGTTTAAGTAGAAAAAAAATCACACACCAAATGAGGGTTTGCTTACAAACATATGCTTATATGTTCAAACCCATCATGTTAGTGTGGCATCACCTACAGTTTGAAACTCTTTGCCCATTGACACCTGGCAGGTGTGTTTGCTGTGCTCTTCTCTGTGCCTGCTTGAAACACTTTTGCTTAGGCCAACCTGTCTGGACAGGTGGGTGCGGACATGTTTTAATCTATTTTACCATTAATTTTAATTATCGTTAAATGTTTTTAACCATTTTCCTGACAATTTCAACATTTACTGTTAAACCACCTAGGAGGTTAAATTACAATCAGGCAGCATTTAAATTTTAAATCAAATGAAATAGGTAAGGGCCATCGCTCAGCAGCAGGGCACCCGCTTTAGATACAGCAGTTCCTGGGTTCAGTCCTCAGCGAATCCTGGTAAAGCTGGGAAAGGCACTGGATTGAAAACCCCAGGAGCTGATCCAGTTAGTGTAGACCAGTGTTTCTAGCTGTTTTCATACAGTTCCCATCATCCTTGATCAGTGGTTTTGCTAGCTAGGGATGATGGGAGTTGTAGTCCAAAAACGAGTTGGAGACCCAAGTTTGGGAAACACTGGTGTAGACTGAGCTAGAAGGACTGAGCTAGAAGGACCAATGGATCTGACTTTGTAGAAACCAGTTTCCAGTTGCTACAATGAGTGAGATATTCATCCCTTTGGGTGCGTCCTTGAGAAAAGAATAGATCTTATATTGTACCAAAAGTAGTGGAGAGATCAGTTCCACATGAGAAGTGAATGACATAAAATTAGCAAGATTAGATGCCAGGGGCTAAATCAACACAATTAGATGGAAGGGACTAAAAAGTCAGTGCATTTCAAAAGGTTGATATTTATGTTATGCTTTCCTGTTGATGGACTTTGAACGTGCTTTTGCTGCTGTCTATTTTTACACTTACATTGTTTTAGTCTGCTGGTCCTGTTTTCTCTCGCTCTGATGATTTTTAGAATTGTTCTGTTTTAGATGATGTTTCTTATTATTTTGTTATTTGTAATGTTATCGATGTTGCAAGGCTGTGGAAGGCAGCCTTTACATGCGGCAAATAATAAGTAAATAAGGCAACTGGGTGGCAAATACACAGCACAAACTTGCCTTTCTGAAGAACAGATTTTGCTAAATTTCAGGAGAGATTGGTTCATTCTGTCTTCTACCTCACCCTTGGCTGCACAGCAGAGAGCATCCACATTCTTCTCAGCTTTGAGGTTTGCCCCTGACAGGGATACTGTCAATAGTTGATTCTGACACTACTTGGATAGACATATTGAGATGCTCCTTGCCTGTGCAGCTTCTACACAAATAGTGGAGGCCTGCAGAGGTTTTCAGAGCTGGGTGGAAAGACACCTAGGCCCCATCCTGACCTTTTCAAGCATGGCAGATCAGGAGGTTGATTTGCTCTGTTAGATTCCTCTCCATCATTCCATATGGAGCTATATTCTGCCTCTCTTTTCTCTCTTCTCTATCTGTGAAGTTTATGGTGTGGGTTAATGTGTGCAATCCATTATTAACCCTTTCTATTCTGTATGCTTCAGCAGTGGCATTTTAATCTGCAAAACCATTTTGTTCCTTCAGAAATCATTTTATGTTGGTGTGTGATCACCTTCTTCCCATATTTTTTGTGTGCTCTCTCTCTCACACTCTCACTCTCTCTCTCTTTCTCTCTCTCTCTCTCTCTCACACACACCCACACACACACATAATTGCTGCAAAGTTGTGGTTATTGCTAAAGCAGGCAAACTAATACTGCTTCCGTATTGGGCAGTTCTATGCTTTCCAAAGTTAGCCAGGTATCCTTAGCCAATGCAGTTCTGTCTGTGTGTTCCCAATGGGCTCCAGTCAAGATCCAAAGAGTAGTATTGCTAATCCCTCCCAAATTAGCTTCTCTGCCACTACAAGTGCAAGGCATGTGTGCAGGCACGCTAGCAAACCTGACAACAGAAGGGAACACAGAGTTGTGAATCCTAACCAGCCAGAATGTTGTTTTCTCAGCTAGTATCAGGAATTCAAGGATGTGAAGCTCAAAACAAAACAAAACAAAACAAAACAAAACAGTAGACTTATGTTAAACATCAGCAATATTTGTAGTATAGTATACATTTATGTGCTATGAACTTAATAATTTCCTTCGTATATCTGACCAAAGACCATCTGTTCCAGTATTATATTTCAGCTGTAGCTAGATCCAGAGGGAAACTTAGAATGGATACCCCATTTTTTGTTCTAGCACCTAGTGCCCAGATTTAAGCTGTTAATAGCCATTGACAGGCATTCTCCATGAATGGGTCTAATTCCTTTACTGGGGGTATGTAAGGAAACTGACACTGGGGACAGTGCGGAATCAGAAGTTATGGTGTGTATCTCCCTACCTGTGCAATGCAGGGATGGGAAACCTGAGGCACTGCACTTCTTGTTGAACTACAAGTACCATCATTCCTAACTACAGTGGTACCTCGGGTTAAGAATTTAATTCATTCTGGAGGTCCGTTCTTAACCTGAAACTGTTCTTAACCTGAGGTACCATTGTAGCTAATGGGGTCTCCTGCTGCCGCCCCACGATTTCTGTTTTCATCCTGAAGCAAAGTTCTTAACCCGAGGTACTATTTCTGGGTTAGCGGAGTCTGTAACCTGAAGCGTATGTAACCTGAAACGTCTGTAACCCGAGGTACCACTGTATTGGAGATGGTGGTTTGTGCTGATGAGAAGTTTAATGTTCCCCATGCCTGATAAAAGGAAGTAGGCTGCTTAGGAGGTGCCTCAATAAGCTTTAATCAGTTAGCAAGTCAGGGATGGACCACCTCTGGGAAGGGCTTTTCCATCTCCCCATCCCCAGAGTGATCTACCATCAACCGTTCTAGTCTGAGTAAATGTACAACTCAATGTGTTTTAATGTTTCTTGTAAGCTACCTCCTTATAGGTATTGTATGCTGAACAGAGTATACTAGTAGGATCTGTCATGGTATCAGATCAGAATGGGAAGGTGGATGCAAACTTTTCTCATGGTGCATACTTTTTTTCATAATTATATGAAACTAGGAATATCATTAAAGCGTTCACCATTTAATGAAGGATCTCTTGTTTCAATAACTTCAGGAAGCAGCTGTCCATGGGAAAGCGTAATTACTTTTAGTGAACCTACTACTGGTGACCAGCCAGTGAGTCTATCCAATCACTAGAATCTACCTAGTAACCATGTTGGAACTGGAGGTAACTCTCATGTAACAATGGCTGTCACATAAAGCGAACTCACCCAGCAATGCCAGGGTTTGGGTCAAATGACATTTGGCAAACTTAATCAGTGTCTCATTGATTATTTCATCAAGAAAACTTTGCTCACACTGCAACTAGATTATGATGGATGCACTATGAAAATACTTGTGATGGATTCCAGAGTTTATTGGAGCAAAAACTGACATAAATGCAATATAGGGACCATTTTCAATGTACCTAAATGGCTGTGTGATTTTCAATCATGTCTTGCTCCCACAGCTGTCTCTGTTTAATAATATTAATCATTTCTATAGGACTTTCCAATGTACAAAGTGCTGTACAGTTTTTATCACATTTCTCATTGTCCTGCCCTGAGGAAATATTTGAACCTGGATCTCTCACATCAGAACTCAATAAACTACCCACCACAACATATAGGACAACATATAGAAAGTAACAAATGAATGAGTTGAGTACCTAAATTAACCAGCGAGGTCCACATAGCCACCTGTGGGAATAGGTGTTCTTTATCATGCCACCTGTCCTGGGCAGTAGCTCAGGTCCCAACCTATAAGAAGAGGAGCCTGACAGATCAGAGTGACCAGCATCAAATGCCACAGAAGAGGTAGACCGGGGGTAACCCTGCAGATTCTGCTGCACTGAAACTCCCTTCAACAGCTAACAACTAGTCATGTAGTTTAGTCAAGGTTTTAGCATTGTTCAAATGTCCATATAAGCCAGGGCTCCAAGCAAATTTTCCTATCCACCACCCTACCAATTTCGCATTCTGGCAGTTTGGCAACCTGATGAGGATGCAAATCATTCCTTCAGAATGTTTAGATTTCTTTTCTTTTTTTTCCTTTGTGAGCTTGGGTCAAGGGTAGAAACCTCCTTGTGTTCAACTGTTAGTACACATCAGGTTCATCATTGCTCAGTCCAGTGTTTCTCACTCTCTCACTCATCCCCTCATCATTCCATTCACTCATCAGCAACAGTACATCACAAATAACCACACCTGTCCACAGAAATCAGATTGGATAAGCACAGAGGGAATAGAATAATTTGCTTTTTCTGAAAAGCATGCCCACTCAGAAGTCTCATTAAGTTCAATGGAGCTTACACCCAGGTAAGTGGGCACAAGACTGCCACCATCAATCCTTTCTGGAACTGTATTGAAGCAGAAATAGGTGTTTTTATTTTCTTCCACCTTTTCTTTGACCTTGAGTTTCTTTCTTTCTTTAAAGAGATCAACCCAGTTCCCTTTTCATTATAAACTGGGGAAATCTAGCTTGTTTCATGTGGGTTTTTTGTTTGTTTGTTTTTTCATTGATGGCTGAGGCTGCAAACACAGAGTGGGATTTATTCTTATTACATGTCTGATATATTGCTTTGTATAGGAGGGTTCCATACTATCTGGAAGATAATGTCTGTGGTGGGGCAGGGGGATAGAAGACATAGAAAGTTGTTTCAAAGCAGCTACCCATCAACTTTCTAGTTCCAATGTCCATTGAAGAAAGAATTAAACATGTGCAAGTTTTCTCCAAATTTGTGTCTTTGGGTCTGGGCCTCATATCTTTTAAGTAATGGGCATGGCTGCAAAAATTGGTCAGAAAGAGAATTCTCATCTCTTTTGCAATCCAATTGTAACCCTATGCTAAAAATTATGTTATGTAGGACTGCTGAAGATGCAAACAAAAATAACAGACTGTCCTTATCATTAGGTAGGATAAGATGACAGTTTTCTGGTACCATTTAAGAGTAGCAAACTGTCAATTGTTTGGCTTGTTATAATAGCATAATAATATTTTTCCATCACTGGAGGTACTGATGCCCATCTGTTGTCATTTGGATTTTCTGCTTAGGGCGCTGATATATCTGTGACAGGATTTAGTTTAGTTACTAGCCACCATAAAACATGTTTACCTTACAAGGAACTGTATCCGTAGCAAGCAGCAACATAGTGTGGAGTTGTAATTTCTTCATGCTGCTCTTCTTATAATGTAGTAATTATCACTCATTACCAATTTCCAACACAGTTCTGGAGAGGGTCACAGTGAACATTCATACATTTTGCAAAGGCATGGGGTGTAACATGCCGTGTTTTTCTTACGTTGGAATATTGATTGCCTTACTGTAATGTATGTTGGAGCCCTAATAAGAAAAGGAGGGTGGGGAAGCAAACTTGGATGGTCTAGAGCAGTTTATTAGTAAGGCTGAGGAGAAATAATGAAGCAGAGCAGAAATAATTACAGTTAGCACATATTTAATTGATGTGAGAATGATAAGTAACACTGTGAATATTTGGACAGATTTGTTAAAGTGTCTGGCACAATTTCTCAACTCTCCAGTAGGGCTTTAAATAAGACATTTAAATCGAAGACTGCATTTTTAACCCACTGTAAACAAAGAAAAAAATGCAGAAGTGGGGGCGGGGGGCGGGTGTCTCAGAAATGTCCCTGTAACACTGCAGTATTTAGAATGCATTTCTTGGATCTTGCCTGTGTCTACTGCATTTGTAAGGATTTCCTATGTCAGCAACATGTAGCCATGCACTGTCAGTAGCGGGTGCTGAGAAATTGAGCACAGTTTACTAAGAGTGCCTGCAGGCTGTCACTATCTTTTGGGAGGAATTCAAGCGCATGCCAGAAATTAAGTTTTCTGCAATTAAACTGGACTAAAGGGCTCTGTTACCCTAGCACAACTTTTCTTTTTTTCAAGGTTTCCCCCTTTGACCGTGCAGAGAAATATTTGAAGTCAATTTGTTCAGGACCTTTTCTGTGGGGTTTCAGACATGTGGTTTATATATATACAGTTATGAACAGTATGACCTTAAAATTCTTATAAAAAGCAGGATATAAATACTTTTGTATAAATAAATAAGCAAGTTTTGCACAAGCAAATCAGGATGAATGCTAGATAAACAGGTCATCTGAAGGAGCCCTAACTTGAAATCACTCAGGATATCGAGAATGTTTTAAGTATGCACCTAAAAATGTTAATGGTTTAGAGATATACTCTTGTGAGGCCTGCAGGTATCTGCTGTGTACACTCTGTGATACGATTTGCTTTGATTTGATGTGTGAAGAGGACTCTTCTGTACAAAAAACCCCAGAAATTTCAAATGTAAGGTAATGTCTATCCTCATAACAACCTGTCTATGCACTGAGGTCTATGCACTGAGGTCATCAGAATACAGTGCCACTGTATTCTGCTCTGGTCAGACCTCACCTGGAGTACTGTGTCCAGTTCTGGGCACCACAGTTCAAGAAGGACATTGACAAACTGGAACGTGTCCAGAGGAGGGCAACCAAAATGGTCAAAGGCCTGGAAACGATGCCTTATGAGGAACGGCTAAGAGAGCTGGGCATGTTTAGCCTGGAGAAGAGGAGGTTAAGGGGTGATATGATAGCCATGTTCAAATATATAAAAAGGATGTCACATAGAGGAGGGAGAAAGGTTGTTTTCTGCTGCTCCAGAGAAGCGGACACGGAGCAATGGATCCAAACTACAAGAAAGAAGATTCCACCTAAACATTAGGAAGAACTTCCTGACAGTAAGAGCTGTTCGACAGTGGAATTTGCTGCCAAGGAGTGTGGTGGAGTCTCCTTCTTTGGAGGTCTTTAAGCAGAGGCTTGACAACCATATGTCAGGAGTGCTCTGATGGTGTTTCCTGCTTGGCAGGAGGTTGGACTCGATGGCCCTTGTGGTCTCTTCCAACTCTATGATTCTATGATTCTATGATTCTATGATTTAGAGCTCTCATCCAGATGCCCCTGTGATCTATGTGAGTCCACCTTGCACGTTTTTGCTTGTGCATAATACATTGACCACAACTGTGTTTCAACATGGGTGTCTTTCTATAAGAGAGTTGCAAATATTTTGGAGGCTACATAAACATAATCAAAGTAATAGTGAAAGGTTTCACTTGTGACACTTTTATCATTCTGTTAGTGTATATCAGAGAGATAAAGAAGCAGAAGAAGCAAACTGGGGGGGAAACTCCATTCATATTTTTTAAAACATACACAGAACTCAGTTTTACAATTTCACTCTAAAATTCTGGTTAAAGTGGCGGTGAGCAAAATATCATTTGCAAACAAAATATCTACATTTTAGAGTACAAAACAGTAATTCTACATGTCTTTCACAGTCTTTGATGAAAGGGATTATACATACATATATATTTCTTCAAAAGTGCCGCATTTATTCCAATGTCCATTTCATGCTAAGGCAACTTTCACCATTATAACATAATTATAGTAGAACAAGAAATCCCTTATTGATGCCAAGATCTCATTTAAGTGTTTACATGTTTCCCAGTTAGATTGCACCTTGTATTTGATCTGGCTTTTGTTGTGGTTACTGATAGTTATCCTATCTTGCTAATGCGTTTACTGAAATCTCATTACTGGAAGTGCATTTGTAAGAAAGCTAGGGAAGAAGGCATAAGCCCCTTGATTTGTGCAGACAGCAAGTGTGACAAACAACTTCGATAAACAGCACAAAGGGATAGATCCAGAAAAATGAGGTCTAAAATGTTATGCACCAAAAATGCTTGCATGGAGTAGGATAGCCATTTGTCCTACTTCGCAGAGTACAATCTCCCATTTGCCACAGGACAGTCCTCTGTTTGAAGAAGTCCTCTATTTGAAGAGCCATCTAGATCAGTTCAAAGGCAAAGAACCCTGAGGAGGAGGATGCTCTTCTGGAGTTGTTCACCGATAGCTACCTCATGGACAAGAGGCTGAGCGAGCAGTCAGTTCATATAGTCACAGTCTTTCTCACAATGGCATGTATGTCTATTTAAAGTACAGTGGTACCTCGGGTTACATACGCTTCAGGTTACAGACTCTGAACCCAGAAATAGTGCTTCAGGTTAAGAACTTTGCTTCAGGATAAGAATAGAAATCATGCTCTGGTGGCGCAGCGGCAGCAGGAGGCCCCATTAGCTAAAGTGGTGCTTCAGGTTAAGAACAGTTTCAGGTTAATAACAAACCTCTGGAACAAATTAAGTACTTAACCCGAGGTACCACTGTATAGCAATTATTTCTAAATTATCTCCACATCTGAATTAGCAACTGCAGATATTATAAAAATTGGTGTGCCCTCCTTCATCCCTCATTTTGATGGTGATGTGGCCACCTTACTTCTATGCCAGATGGGGAATGGGTTACAATGAACTACCCCTGAGGATAGGTGAGGAGTTTTGAAGCTGAGATTAAGTTTACTATTTTCATTTCTGGCACAACTATACAGAGCTGTTGTGGTTTTTAAACAATATTTTAATCTTACAGCCAACTACTGATAGCATCAGCATTGGATTATATCTCGTTTGCAAGGAGAAATTATCTTGCTTACAACAGGCAAAGCTGTTTCAAAGCAAAACCCCTTGCTTCTTGAAGTGTTATTCTGCTTTCATTTCTCACTTGTGTGGTCTCCTCACATACGCCCCAAAGGGTGAGGTCAGCATTATGTGAAATTTACATGGTTAATGAACCTTTTACAAAAGCAAATGAAACAAAGCAATCACAAGCTGCTCACAGCTGAAAGCAAAACCATATAAGTGGGAATACCAATAAGTAAGATATAAGGGCCAACCCTGAAAGGAAATCAGGCCTGAGTGCTCACTGGAAGGACAGATCATGAAGCTGAGGCTCCAATACTTTGGCCACCTCATGAGAAGAGAAGATTCCCTGGAAAAGACCCTGATGTTGGGAAAGATTGAGGGCACAAGAAGAAGGGGACGACAGAGGACGAGATGGTTGGATAGTGTTCTCGAAGCTACCAGCATGAGTTTGACCAAACTGCCGGAGGCAGTGGAAGACAGAAGTGCCTGGCATTCTCTGGTCCATGGGGTCACGAAGAGTCAGACACGACTAAACGACTAAACAACAACAACAACAAGGGCCAACCATTTTCCTTTGAAAAGCACA